ACAAAATGGCTCCTACCATTTATACCTTTGCCTTGAGTCTTTTATTTTTTTCTTTCTTCTTTTCAAGTCTAAGCACTTGATCATCACCATGGCATCACCATCATCATGTCATGATCTTCATATGCTTCACCACTTGGAATGTGCTACCTATTTTATGATCACTTGATAAACTAGGTTAGCACTTAGGGTTTCATCAATTTATCAAAACCAAACTAGAGCTTTCAGGCCTGCACCGCTCAGACGCCGCTGGCGCCGCCAAACCACGTGTGGGGACCGCTGCCCCCCCCCTCCGCTTCTCACGCGTATTTCAACATGTGCAACACCTGATTTACTTTTGAAACATTCAGATGCAATACTTGCAACATATGTCTGAAGACAAATGAAATACTTGAAACATGCGTCTGAAACACTTTAAAAAGCACTAAAAACACTTGAAACCATTGTAAATCAGCCTGTTCGCTTGGTCGTAAACGATCGTAAATTTCCAGCCAGAAACAGTATTTTTCTCTCACACCAAACCAGCCAGCAGTAAATAATCCACGATCCAATACGGTCTCCCGAACAGGCTGAATATAAGGAACATTTAGATTAAATAATTGCAATATATGCGTGAAATGTATGCAACATCTGGATAAACACACTTGCAACATGCGTCTGAAAAAACAGATAAAACATTAAGAACAGAAGCTTGCAACATCTATATACAACCATTGCAACATAAGCAACATCTCGATCTAACGTCCACATAAAACATTTACAACATACTTAAACATCTTAAACACTTCATACACATGCAACATGCGTTTTTTACACGTTCTTCCTAACGACGCAGAGAGGAGCGTGAAACTCCGTCATGTTCACCCCCACGACAAACCGGCCTGCCGTGTCGCTGGACCAGACGAAGCTGCCATCAGCATCCTGAAGAATCAGATCACCGTCGCCTGTGAAGCTGAGGGTCGCATTCCGTCGGACCTGGCGGTCACGGTTTGCAGACCAGAAGACAACCTGCACGGCGTCTCTGTACGAGCCATCGGAAGTCTGCTTCCTGTGGAAATGGCGCAGACCCCAAAGATGAAGGTGTTGCATGGGGAAACGCAGTAGAATCCAGCGCCGAAGGACATGCCGCTGCTGCCTGGGACTGCGAGGGGTCGGAGGAGCCAAGGGTCAGCAACATGCTTGTAACCACCGCGTGGTCCGCTTAGGTATGGGTATGGGTACTCTGCTTTTTCCAAACGGTGGATAAGTTTGCCCAGGGTGTAGTAAGGCCATGCGAGCCGACTGATGATGCACTGCAGGTTTGAAGAGCTAGAGATGTGCTGGTGACTGGTGAGGACGAAGAGGATAAAGCCTAGAGCAGCTATACTCTCATGCAAGCTGCAAGCTGCAAGCCTGCAACTCTGAGATCACTGTCCCTGGAGAAAATGATGACAGCAGCATTTGGAGAGGGATTCAGTAGAGAGACTGGTTTGCGGTTTGCTGTATGGGTAATCTGTCTGGACCGTGGTGCCATAGTACACTAGTAAGCGGACGGCAAGCTTTGTACAAATGAAACGGCCAAAGGCATTGCCGAATGGCATGTTCGTCTTCAAGTCCTCATTGTTGACTGATATGTTGATCGATGCCGTGCAAAACACGGTTCCACATGGAGCTGTTGGGCTAATGATTTTTGTGGCTGATAAACCAGCTGATGCTGTTTCGTTGTGAGAGAAAAACACTGTACCATGATTTGTAAGCCAGACTGATAAGTTCAAGCGAAATAACTGACATGTTATTAATCTCTGCAGTCGTGACCATATTATGCAACTGTAAACAACAAATATTGTTTGGTTTCCTGCGGGATAGGTTTGGTAATCGTTTCCGTGTACAGTGGAGACTCGGAGACCCCCTGGTGGCTACTGACTACTGGTGACTTGGCCGGCTGCAGGCCTCATGCAACTGAGTTATACTTTCTTTTGTTGATAGGGACACAGCCGGTCAAAGTCAGTGTCAACAACGGCCCATTCGTTCAAATCCTGCATGCGCGTTCATCAGACGTGGATGGGGAAGAAGAGGTGATAATTAGCAGACCCATGCTCGCCTTGATAGTTGGGGTGACTAACTGACTAAGAGCAACTCCAGTGGAGTCCCTAAACAGACCCCTATTTTATTTTTAGGAGTTCAAGTAAAAAAAAAACTACTCCAATAGACCTACTATTTGGACTCCCATTTTAGGAGACCTTCCAAAATTTAGTTGAAGGCCCCCAGGAACCAGGGCCTCCTATTCCCCACGCCCGACACCCCGACTGCCACACCGCCGCCGCCACCCCGCCGCCGCCGTCCGCGGGATCCGGCGAGGTCCGGTCCGGCGAGCCGCCTGGACTCCATCGCGGCCGCGGAGCTCGCGGATCCGCCCTCCTTCGCGTCCTCGCCTGCCTCCGCGTCGTCCCGCCGGTTCCCGCCGCCCCTCTTCTTCCTCCTCGTCCTGCCGGTTCCCGCCGGTCCGGCGACCTCGCCTGCGTCCGCGTCCTCGTCCTTGTTCCTCCTCTCCATCCCCGCCTCTCCTCTCCATCCCCGCCTCTCCATCCTCGTCCTTGTTCCTCCTCTCCATCCCCGCTTGCGTTCCCGGCCTCCATCCCCACGCCCGCCCCTCTTCTTCCTCCTCTCCACGCCCACCACGCCGACGACCAGCAGCAGCGCAACCAGCAAGACGCCCACCACGCCGACGCCCACCACGCTGCCGGTTCCTCTCCCATGGACGGCGACGTGTCCCGTGGCTTCTCCGGAGGTGGGCTGCCTCCCCGTCCGACGGTGGCTCCCACGCGACGTCGCCCATTCGTCGCGCCGCATCCCCGTCCGACGCCGCATTCGTCCCAAGAACGTCCTTCTCCCGGCGGCGGCGGCAGCGGCTTACCTCCTCGGCTCCCCAACGAGCAGCCTCGACTCGGTCCTCACGCGTTGACCTTCACGGAGCCTCACGCCGCCACCTGGGACGCCGGCAGCACCACAACATCACCAGCACACGTCTATGAGGTTGCCGGCGACTTCAACCCCAACCATTGGACGCCTGATGACTACTCGGTGAGTTGTGCTAATGTTAAGAGCGCATTGGTAAACATTTTAGATAAGCTATGTGCATGTGCTATGGCAATCACAATCATATGTTCTCTGATCTTTTTTGTATGTGCTATTACTTTCTATAAGATTGTGTTACTAGAGCTTCTGAGCCTGTGAGCTATAAGATTGTGTAACACAATCATACTTTACTATAAGATTTTTATAAGATTGTGTTACAGTTGATTCTAAAATTATACTAGAGCTATAAGAATCTTATAATTGACACAATCTTATACTTTACTATAAGAATCTTATACTTTACTATAAGATTGTGCTGGTAGTATAAGTATGATTGTGATTTTTATAAGATACTGTAACACAATTATACTAGAGCTTCTGAGCCTGTGAGCTGCAACTGTAACACAATCTTATAAGTATGTGCTGGTAGTATAAGTATAGTAAAGTCTCTGTCTTCTATAAGTGCAACTGTAACATTATACAAGTACAATACAAAAGAAATCTAGTATAGACATTGCAGAAGATACTTGGCCTTTCTTGCTGGTCACTCACCTATTTTTGCTTGTTCCACATTGAGCTCAGTCATGTGCCTGTTCAGATCAGGCAGCCATTATTTTGCTTTTGTTTTGGTTCTGAGCTGTGTTATACTTGAGCTTCTGAAGGGCTGAGGCGTGCTCACTTGTCTGCAATTTGGGCCACGATGAGAACATATAGTACAATTGTAGCATGTTTGTTAACTGCCTGGTGTTTAGCTGTCTAGCCAGAATGCCATGTGACTGTTGTTATATCATCAAACATGGCAAGTGCAAATTGCAATGCAAACACAAGCCGGTCCGTATCATCAATTCTGTCAACTCTGGTAGAGTACCTTTTGGTTTTGGTTATATCATCAAATGAAATGAGCAAAAATTTAATATTATGTTGATAGGGAGACCAGATCAGGAAACACTCGTCCACCATGGTCACCACGTTTGTGGCATCATCCATCAGAGAAAAATGCGTTTGTTAGAGTTGAGGACTGGATGGATGGAGCTCACTGTCACAGGCTCACAGCAGCACAGTATATTGCATTGCTTTTGTTGCATTACATTGCATGGGACTGAACTGACAATATGGAGTTTATGTTTTTTGCGGGAACCAAGGGCTTCAAGTGCAGCAGGAAGAGGAAGATGATATTTCACAACCATATTGACACAGGAAGCGGATGATGATTTGGAAGTGCTGAGGCAGCAGGATGCCACTCCAAGTACTGGCGGCAAAGGATCATCCAAGCGAGGCAGCAACTACACTAATCTTGAGGATATCCAACTTTGCAAATCTTGGATTCATATCAGCAATGACCCTATCATAGGGAATAACCCACCCGTGGAAAACTTATTGGGAGAGGATCGGAAATGATTTCCACACAGAACAGGACTTTGAGTCCGATAGGACTCCCAATTCACTCGAGCATCGCTTTGGGATCATACTAAAGGAGTGCATGAAATTCCAAGGCTACTACGAGGAGGTCGGCGTCATCATCCAAGCGGCATTCCATACAAAGAGCATGTAATTGGTTCATCCCATACCTTGTCATTGCTATATATCTTGACATTGCTATATATCTAATCATGCACTTGATCTTTGATGCATTTGCTTAAAGCCCAAGCAAGGTATGCCAGAAAAGCGAAGGGCAAAAATTGTCAATTCGAACATTGCTGGCTCACGTTGAGGCATACTCAGAAGTTCGAATCGACACTTGAAGGCAACAAGAGGCCAGCCAAGTCCAGAGAGCTCAACCTCCCAATAGGAAGTGAACAAGACGATGAGTCAACCGCCCAAGGCCAAGAGAGCTCCTCGGTCCCTTTCGCTAAGAAAACCCGACCTCGGGTAGAAAGCAATCCAAAGAGAAGCTGAAAAAGAATGAAGGAGATGACGAGTACAAGGATATGATGCAAAACTTGATGGTAATGAAGACCGAGGAACATAAGATGAAGAAAGAAAGGTGGGAGAAGGATATGATGCTTGAGCATCGCAGGATTGAGATGGAGGAGCAGCGGCTGCAGTGGGAGCAGGAACAGGAAATTATGTTTTGTGATGTGACCACCATGGACGATGATCAAAGGGCATATGTGTTGGCCAAGAGAGCGAAGATTGCGAAGGCGATGAGTGCTAGTGTAGGCGAGACTGCTAGTGGTGAGAGTGGAGTGTAGGTTTGGTGAGAGTGGAGTGCTAGTGGTCATTTCTTAAGTTTATGTGAACTTAAGTTTATGTGAACTTAAGTTTGGTGAGAGTGGGGTGTGCTCTTAGCTCCTAACGTTGAAACATTGTGCCGGGATGCCTAGTATGCAGGTGAATGTCGACTTGATGAAGTGCCCATATTCGAGAATGCCAATGCATATTTAATGTGTTGATTGTTTCTTCCATGCGCAAAAAATGAGGTCTTTGAAGGTGGCAAAGATCTGTAGAACATATTGCTCAAATTAAGAGAGGTTTTGAGTATTAAAAGATGTTCATCCTATCGGAGCGTGCATATTTAAGCATGTATTTGAGAGATTGTTTGAAATAAGCAAGTAAACAAAGAAGATGGTTCCTACTTTGCACTTCTCGCAGGGTGTAGTTCACCTTCTCTGTAAGGCCAGTGTGCTTTGCACTTTGGAGTTTGGAGCACCCCAAACGCTCTTTCCACATCTTTCCCATTTGCTTCTTGTGCCATTGTGAAGTGAATCTTCTTGTTGCCTGTGGATGTTGAAAAGCTTTGACAAACGTTGCCCAGCCGGGTATATCCCATCGCAAGATAGTACCCCATTGTGTACTTGTTTCCATTGACCATGTATTCCACTTGTGGCGCCGTCCCAGAGGTCAGACTTTGGAAGAGTGGAGAGCGGCGCAAAACGTTGATATCATTTAGAGAACCTGGAAGGCCGAAGAATGCATGCCAGATCCATAGATCTTATGATGCAACGGCCTCAAGGATCATGGTCGGCCCATCTTCTTTCCACTACTAGAAATGTGTTCATCAATGACGATTCAGTCGTGACGCTTACAAATTACGTCACAGAACAAGCGCTTTCTATGACGAAATTTCCAGCTTCGTCATAAGTAACAAGTGACGGAGCTTTGGCACGAAGAATAATGACGAAAACAAAAGAATCATCATAAAACAACAAAACTAAATCGTCATAGATCATTTGGCTCGTGTACCACCTCGAGGACGTGGCGCCGTGGTCCCACCAGCAGGTCCCACCTCGAGGACGTGGCGATGTGGTCCCACCATTGGGTCCCAACCTCAAAGACGTGGCGATGCGGTCCCACCAGCGGGTCTCAGCCTGAGGACGTGGCGACGAACAAGTGGGGCAGCGTGGCCCACACGGTCCAGGTGGACCTGCATCCTTCCGCCTCCCTTTTTTTTGTCAAAAAATAGCGCACGCAGGGAGATTCGAACCCACGACCTGCTGCTAGACATGTTGGTGCGTTACCACTGGAGCACTCGCCGTTTTGTGATAAAGCCATGCATGTTTTTCTATTTGTAAACGTATAACATGATAATTGATGATTTTTTTTCCTAAAATTTTCTAAAATCATTCTCTATCAATTTATTTTTTTGGTTTTGTCAATATATACATATGAAAAGTTTGAGCAATTTAAATTTTGAATTTCAAAAAAATGCAACTTCAGACAAGATTTTGGTTCCCCAAATGATTTCAGCTGAAAAAGTGATAAATACCAAAGTTGAATAACTCATCAAGATCTACAACTTTTGTATTGGTCATTTCTTCATATGACAAAGTGGTAGCGACATTGTTCACAAATGTGACACATCTCTCGTAAGGTTTTATAAACTATATGAGACATGTGTAAGATTAGTGAACAATGTGTGCTAAGGATTTGTCAAATGAAGAAATGACCAAAATAAAAGTTGTAGATATTCATGAGTTGAACAACTTTGGTATTCATCTCTTTTTATGTTGAAATCAAATTGGGTCTCAAATTTTGGTTCGAACTTGTCATTTTTTAAAATTTCAAATTTGAAAGGTACAAATTTTGTCAAATGACAAGATGACCAAAATAAAAGTTGTATATATTAATGAGTGGAACAACTTTGGTATTCATTACTTTTTATGTTGAAATCAATTTGGGTCTCAAATTTTGGTTCGAACTTGTTATTTTTTAAAATTTCAAATTTGAAAGGTTCAAATTTTGTCAAATGACAAGATGACCAAAATACAAGTTGTAGATATTGATGATTTGAACAACTTTTATATTCATCACTTTTGCATATGAAATCATTTAGTGTTTCAAAATTTGGTTTGAACTTGTCAAATTTCAAATTTTAAAATGTGTAAAACATTGTCACATCCAAGTTTGATCAAACTTAAATGCTGAAGCATGATTTTATAAATTTTTAGGAAAAAAACCATCACATTTGGAGTTAGTATGAGGGAGAACAACTAGTTACAAAGTTTACCCACAGATTAAAAAGAGAAATCACACTGTTCTAGATAAAAGTTGTATATATTAATGAGTGGAACAACTTTGGTATTCATCACTTTTTATGTTGAAATTATTTTGGGTCTTAAATTTTGGTTCGAACTTGTCATTTTTTAAAATTTCAAATATAAAAGTTTCAAATTTTATCAAATAACAAAATGACTAAAATAAAAATTGTAGATGTTCGTGACCTCTGCAACTTTGATCTTCATGACCGAAAATTTGGCAGGCCCAAGTAACATGTACGTGCATCCCTCCTGTAAACCCTATCGTGCCTAACTCCCTCAGACCCGCAGCCGCCTCTCTCTCCCACAGCTCAGTCGCGTGCGCCGCCGTCTCTCCCAGATCTCGCCCGTCGGTGGCTCGCGGAAGGATGAGGCGCAGCTCGCTCCCATGGTGGCGTCCTCGCGCTCGCCCCTTCTCTCCACCTCCATGCCGCCCGCGGGCCCCCTCGCCGCCAACTGGAGCCAAGCCCCTTCTCTCCGCCCGCAAGCGCATAGATCAGGGCCATGGAGAAGCCGCTACCGGAGCCCATCCCCTCGGCAGCCGGCAGCCGCGGAGGAGGGGCGGAGCAGTTCAGGTCGCTCGTCGACCCCGATGACGTCGCCTCCATCAGGCAGACCACCTCATGTGAGCTCGCCCACTCCCCTTCCCTCCACTCCCGATCCCGTGGAGCCCTGAATGGTTCAGATGTTCTGATTCGTCAGTACTACTGCTGGGGCTTTCAATTGCTGTGCCTAGCGTGCTAAATGAGATATTTTTGGGTATTTCCCTCTGATAGATTTAGACCATTCTAGGAGTAGGTTCAGTGCTCGTATGGATTAAGAATTTACCAATCAACCGCCTATAGTAAATTAGTAATTTGTTGCTTCCATGCCTCATGATGATTCACCATCTAGACTGCGTGCTGACATGTGCTGCCCTTATTGCTCTGCCTTTTGTTTCCCTGGGAAATATTTCCTAGTAGCTCACTAAAATTTCACATGGATCCATGTATAGACCTCACAGTTAAACTAATGTACACTCTTGCAATTATGAAAACAACTGCTAATTTAGAGTTAGTTCTAGTTGAAAGCAGCGGATCTCAAGGGTATCAATTGTTGCCTGTTGTGATTGACTATATTATTATTATAGCTAATACACTGATAACTATTACAGGTCTTAAAATGCAAGTACTGAGGGGAGATGGTCATCCATGCTCAGGTGAAGTGGCGAGATATTAATGTTTTGCAGCTGTAATTTTATGTCTATATCTGGTGAAGTGAGGAGATCAGAGATCTCAATTAGGAGCTTGTAAACTATTTATGATAATACCACCCTCTGCATATAGTTTGTTGGAAATATGCCAATAGGGGAGACAGACAGGGCCCTGTAGCCATTGTTTTTTCAGAGGGAAGTTGAGTGGTTCCTTAGTTATTTTTACAGCATATTCAGATTATTTTTTAGCTGAATAGCTGGCTGCTGGGGGCACTTTGCTAAGTTTATAATGCTGTTCTAAAAAAAATGATCCCATAAGGCAACAATGTATAGGAGCCATGTCACTTTATATGATCTGCAGCTAATAATCAATCTTCAGCTAGGTCGCTTCTCTTTTGTTGTATAGGAGCCATGTCATTTTATATGATCTGCACTATCTTTACTGGAACTTATATTTAGTTTTATTTGGTATTTAAAGGTGGATCCTTACTACTAGTCTGTGAGTATATAAGTAGTATATGAGCTCATTCGTAGTTTTTTTTCATAGATATGCACATCCAAATTTTGGCAAATCCAAATTTGCTATTTGTAAATATGTTAATACGAACTTTACACATGATGGCTTCCTGTTTTGCAGAGGTGCAAGCATTTTGAGATTGGAGGCAAGAAGGGCAAGGGAACTTATGTACATTCGAAAATAAACGGTATGCCTTGGCTTCTGAATGTGTCCTTGTATTGTTTGATAACTTTTAGCTTCTTTTTCCTGAAACAACCCAAGTTAGACAGATTACTATTCCTAGAGAAAATTCTGGCTCTGTAATTTAAGTTCCAAGCATATTTTAGTCTATAGCTAATGCCTGCATTAGAGAGGAAGTAATATGTTGATTTTGAGCCTTATTATACACATAGTATGTCATGAATGCTGCCATGAAATTGGAGCACCTACTACTATATGTGATTGCTTAAACAGAATTGGGATGTCTGATAATGGTTACAAGCCTACATACTCTGAATTTTTTTATTATTCATGTATTCATCATTTATTGAACTTAGAAGAATGGTTGGTCCCTAATGTTAGCTGTTCTGACTTTTGAGTACGATTAGGCACATGATTGGTCACTCTATCAGTTAGCTGAAAATAGATAGCTAGCACGTGGTTACTCTGTCAGTTAGCTGAATGAGACTTCTAAATAAGTTGTTGATTGTACTGACAGGTTATCCTACAGCCTTCAGCATGAAGATTGCGTTCAAGTTGTGTTCTATTGTCACTTGTGCATTAGTGGTTGCAGAATATAAAGTAAGTATTTTGCATCAAGAAAAACCATAGAGCAGTTAGCTCTTGTACTGTTAGAAATCTTTTAGGCCACTGCTCATGTACTGATAGAGGTCTAGGCCTTGGCTGCTTGTGCAGATACTATTTGTATCATAAGTTGTATGTAAAGGTTGTAGATGATTTGATTGCTGAAATAGAGAAAACATGTGTGTAATGTGAGATAAATCTGCAATCAAAGCTGCTGTAGCAGGGTACCAAACAACCCCTGCAGGATCATGGTAGAAAATTTTCTTTTTTTTTTGTTTTTGTAAATTGTTATCAGTGACGCGTCTTGGCTGGATGAGTCACTGATAAGGTAACATCAGTGACGCGGCTTGGCTGGACGAGTCACTGATAAGGTGACGCGTATTGTCTGGACGAGTCACTGATAAGGTATTATCAGTGACCCGTAAACACACGTCACTGATAAGCCCTTATCTCTGACGTAAGAACAGTGACACGTGTTATACGCGTCACTGACGGCCCTCTACACGCGTCACTGATAACGTTTTCTGGCATAGTGTGGGATCTTATCCGGAGTCGTCGCTCATCAGGTTAGTAGCAAATTTCATTTCTTCCTGTCTCTTTTTTTTACGATTGTTTTTGCCATAGATTCATTATTATTTCCTTCCTGACTATCACTAGGTCTTCAAGAGAAATACCGCTGCCGGCTGCACTGTAATATTTTATCAGAACTCCGGTAAACAATACTCCGTATAGCACGTCACTTTGTCTAATCACTTATAAATAGTCAAACAACAATAATATTTATTACCGCTGTGATTCAACCGTGTATCTTCTTAACTGGAATTGTTTCCATCTTAGTAGACAAACAACAATAATATGTGTGGCATTAAAAATTTATATCTCTTTGAACTTTTAAGCTGTACTAAATGTTTCTTATTCAGATTTGTTTTTTACATAATTTGTAATCAATGATACCAGAACTTTGTTGAGTATGGCTCTGTTGCCGTTTTCATTAATTTCTATTGCAGTAGCTGTGACCTACGTAGATGTCCTAAAATCTTATTTAAAGAATTATCCGTCTGTCATTTAAACATCTTGTCACACCTTTTATAATATAGTGTTCAATCACACTTTCAGTCAGCATATCTTCTCTTAAGTCTTATATTTTGTTACATGGCAGCATCGATTTTATTCAAGATATATTATTCATTTTTGTTGATGTCATCTCAGAGCACCATCTATTTGCAGATATACCAAATATCTCTGCAGTAGGCCATATATTGTTTTCATTAATTTCTACTAAATTTATTGTACAGATTTGTAAGCGGTGGATATGACAGAAATGCTTACTGATGAATATTCCTTCCGGATACGCTTAATAGTAGCAATTCGGATGGTCGGAAGTGTCGAAGAATACCTTTCGCCTTTGCTTTGATCCGTCTAGCCCAAAGTATGGTGGATTGCCCTTAGGTGAACTGATTGTGCAGGCATGAATGTGGTTTCAAATCTGTATATAGGGGTGAAATTGTGCTGGATCAGAATTCAAAATACCAAGCTTTGTACTAGTTTAGTACTCTTTAAAAGCAAATAGTATCAGACAATGTCCTTACACAGTTGTCGCAATTTTCGTTATTGCTCAACCAGTCAACCTGAAACTAGTTATTTGCACCATTTAGTATAGGCTCTAGCTGTGTTTTCAATACTAGAAAGTTGGACAGAAATCTTTCATTCACTGATAGTGACAGGTTAGTTGTTACCGATACCACTCTCAGTTATTTTCTAAAGCTAATTTTGTAGTGCTATCAGTAGCTTATGTTGTTGTTGCATGTTGTAGATGGGAAGACTTTCAAGAAGGAGCGCTTAGATGCTGAGCTGAAGCTGGTTGGTGAGTATGGTCTGCGCTGCAAGCGTGAGCTGTGGCGCGTGCAGTATGCCCTGAGCCGTATCAGAAATGCAGCCAGGGAGCTGCTCACCCTAGATGAGAAGAACCCACGCCGTATCTTTGAGGGTGAGGCGCTCCTCCACCGCATGAACCGATGAATAGGTATCTTGTCATATATTCTTTCTCAATCAGTTTCCAAAGGATATTCTCATTTTAAACGTATGATCTCATCTGACATGTTCATTATCTTGTAAACTTGACAAAAGCTGGCGAGGACACAAAAGGAGATGGAGGAGTACAAGAAGCTGACAGGGATAAACAACAAGGCAATGGAGGAGAACAATGCGCTGCTCAAGCGTATCTTGGCCATCAACAATGCTTCTTCGACATGAGCGCTGCTCGTAGCTGCTGGTTCATTAAGCAAGGGGTCTGCTGGTGATTTTGTTTATGTAGTAACTTATGTTGCTGGTGGTTGGCAACTTTTTATTATTTCCTGTGATGTTAATGTGAACTGAGATGAAACTAGTAGTTCAAATGTGATGTCTAGTGAGTTATGTGAACCGAGTTTAGAATTGTTGATTAAGTTGTTGGTCATTGGAATACTGGATCTGTTAATTTATGGAAGCTTTTGGTCATTCCAGTATTATTTGCATTCTGTAATGAAATCGGCATGTGCACTTGTGACGATTTGGTAATTGATTCTGTGACGAATTTCTATTTACTTCAGTGATGAAAATGAGAACCTATCACAGCAAGCCTTGTGGCCCAATAAAAAGTGGACACGTGGACCATCCACATCACTGGCCACGTCAGCTGCCATGTGGTCGGAAACGTCATCTACAATGTGGACGCGCCACGTGGACAAGACACGTCAGCTGCCAGCGTGGCAGACGTCGTCTGGCCGCCTAACAGACGGCAAGTCATGACGAAAAAGGGGCTATATCAATGACGAAAATAGATCGTCATAGAAAGAATACACTTCTATGACGACGGCCATTTCGTCATAGAACAAATGCACATCTATGACGAAAATAGACGTTTCGTCACGGTAGGTAAAATATGACGCGCTTTCAATGACGAATACCATATCGTCACAAATTCGTCATAGAATAATATATGTGACGATTTTGGAGTCTTCAGTGATGAAAGAAGAGCATCATTGATGTACACATCCCTAGTAGTGTTCCCTTCGTATGCTCCTTTCCAACCTACTGGGCACTTGTCCCATTTCCAATGCATGCAATCAACGGAACCAAGCATTCCTGGGAACCCTCTTGCACTATTAATTGCCAACAGCCTGGCTGTGTCCTGGGCATTGGGGGCCCTCAAGTATTCTTCACCAAAGACCTCGACGACAGCCTTCACAAAATGTTTCAGACACTCAATGATTGTGCTCTCTCCCATCCTCACATACTCATCCAAAAAGTCGGCCGAAATACCGTAGGCAAGCATCCGAATGGCGGCAACAACCTTCAGAGTATGGGAGAGGCGCCAAGAGTTCCGATGGCATCGCTTACGACGGAAATAGTCATCATCATGAGACTCCACTGCATCCACTATCCGGAAGAAGCGCGACTGGACATCCGAAACCTCCTTACGAAATGTTTCTCACTGTATATACACTTTGGTCCGCCAAGTAGTCTAGGTAGATGCGATTGTGACCTTGAAATGTTCCGTGGCACTTTGCGGCGACCCGGCAACGATCCACGAAACTTTTTCTTGCACTTGTTTCTCCTCGAGCCCTCAAGAAGACCAGCAATGATGAAGAGGTCGTCATCATCAGATTCATCCTCTTCATCCCACCCTCGACGAGCTCTAGTTCCAAACCTTGACATCTGCCATAGCAACAAAAAAAGGGAAAAAGTTAACAGAAAAGTTTGTATTGCTATTGCTTTCTTCTACCTATAAAAAGTGTAATCTTTTGATTTCGACATCTCATCTTCCACCTTAGTGCAACAAGAACAAACATGGAGCAATCAGTTACACAACTGCTGGTGTTGATCGCCAAGAAACTCTGCCTACTCAAACCACCTCTACCCTCCCAGAGAACATAGATTGGTAGAATGATTCTCCTACAACTGCTGCGTTGATGGTTGAACCAATGTTTGCTTCCCAATCTGAGCACATTGCAGAACCCAAGGCAATTGATGAAACTTCTGTTATGCAAGTGGAACTGGCAACTAGTACAGGGGATGAATGTGCAGCAGAGGGTGACATTGTTGTTTCATCTGAAACTGTTGTGGAATCGGAGCCTGTTCAAGAAACTGTTGTTCCTAGTCAAGGGGGTAGCATAGAAACTAACACTACTTCTACCATCAGTGAAGTAAACAAAGATACTGAGTCTTGTGCATCTGGTGAAGTATGCAAAGATGCTCAGTCTCATGGTGGTGAATCTTACACTGAACTGCAATTGGCCCCTTCCTCTGGTGAGGAGGCCATGATATTGTGTAGTGAGCAGCCCAGCCAGGGGGTGGAGGAGGCTCCAAGCAGTGACCCTTTGGGGAATAATGAAAATGTGAAAACGGAAAATGAAGCTTCTGCTCAAGGACCAGTAAATGAGGAATCTGCTCCTCGTGCTGAAAATGCAAAGACTGATGAAGCTGACACAGAACAGCAACTGCCTCCATCTGCTGAGGCCATGGTAGACGTATCTAGCGAGCTACTCAGCCAAGACGAAAAGGTGGCTCCAAGCACTGGCCCTTTAGGAAATGATGAAGATGCACAGCTGGAAGAGGCTGCTGCTGCACAGAGAGAGCTAAGCACTGAAGTTGCTCATGGTAGTGAAAATGCGAAGGCCGGGACAGGCCGGGACAGGGGCATCGATGCGCGAAGGCCGGGACAGGCATGGGAGGTCCAACACAGAGGAAAGGAAGGGCCTTGGGCAGGGGGTTGCTCACTAGGGCTCGTGAAGATGTCGTCCGGGTCGCGGTTCACGGCGAGCTGGGACGCGGCCGGGACGGCGCAGCGCGAGGGCGTCGCGCGGCGAGGTGGTTCCGGCGGTCGACGTCGAGGCGGCTTCATGCGGTCCAGGGGCTTCGGCTCGCCGTCGGTGGCGTGGATCAGGCGGGGCGCCGGAGCTGGCGGCGCGCGGGCGGGGCGCGTGTGCGGGGCGTTCTTGGGCTGGAATAGGGTGTTGGGCTGAAGTTGGAAGCAAATTTGGGTCCCTATTTTTTGCAGGCCAGCATGCAAATGAAAAAAATAGAGGCCCAATTTGCATGCTGGGCTGGAGTTGCTCTAAAGACGCACTAGAATAAGATTTAGTTACTGAAATAAAGACGCACACTAGAGGAATGCAGTCGCAAGTAAACCGCAAACCCCCATGCAAGCACCAAATATCGCGATCGCCTCCACACGCTGGAGCTTCCGGTCGCACTCCCGCTGCCACGCCTGCTGTCCCCGCTGCCACGCCAGCAGTTCCTCGTGCTCACAACGCCGGATCGCGTGGTCAAAACCCAGCTTGTATTTAATCTCGGCGAGCTCCTCCGCCGCCGTCCGGTCCCGAGCGCCCGAGCTCATCTTGCGCGCGCTCGATCGGATCTGTCTTGCCGCCGAAAAGACGACTAGGCTTTGATGATACTCCCTGCTGTTTGGTACGTACAGCTCCCCTCGCGTATATTATATAACGTAGGCAAATAATCGTGGACCCTTCATTTATTTTGATCGGTGGTTATTTTTTTCAGGAGATAATTGATGAAATATATTTTATTTTATTTTTTATTTTGTAAAATACGGTAAATAAAGAAAGTCTTATATTAGATATAAAAAAAATCTGACGACTGGTGTCCTGCCGTGAGTTGCTGGAGTCCGCTCGCCGGTCGCCGCCCCCGGCCCTCTCGGTCGCATGCGAAAAGGCAGGGGCCGCCCCGCTGGCTTATGGCAGTGACGAGGGAGATTTGTCTATCGTCATCTTGAGAGTGGATGAGTCCGTGACGGGGTGGGAAAGATTTGTTAATATATATTTTTTCTTTTCCTACAAGTTAATTAAAAAATCAATTAATTAAAAAATCTTAAAATTAACGGCTTAGTTTTATTTGTGATATTATCTTCTTTTTTGAGAGGTCACCAGGGGGACGATAGTCCCCACCTAAATAATTTTACACGGATTGCGGCGAAGCCGGTGATGGAGGGTCCAAAACACCTTATAAGGATGACCCTTAATAGTCAGGTGTAACTAACCTACTACCCAAAACAAGTACAAGCACTAAGTTCCTGACTGGTGCCACCATTGGATGGCAGACGCCGAAGAGCCCTATTCCACAAGTAGCTGTAAAGGATTGAGTCGAGTCTGACAGACGACAACCATGCAGCTGTAAGGCACTGAGTTAGAATCAACAGACGACAATGGAGAGTTGCAACACCTATGAGGAGCATCCGGGATCCAACCGACGCCCACATACGCCCTTTGGGGGGAGGAAGCTAGCCTCAAATGAGGCAGGGCCATCGATAGGAGAACTAGGAAATCCAAGTGAGGTGATCATGGTCCCGCAACCCGGCATAAGATGAGACGGAGCACTCTAGTGATCTAGAGGACGATGGAGCAAGCTATTGAAGACCACACAAGCCAGCAACCAATGTGCTATTATCTTCTAACAAGTAGAAGTACCATAGCATTGTTCATGTAGGTATGTACACGTCGTTTGCGATCCGGTTTAGAGAAGGATTGGAATTGGTGTTCCGGTCGGAGGCGGCCGCGTGCCTCCTCCTCATGGATAGGTTTCGCAAACTCTAACATATGAACGGTCGTGTGCCAAAACTTTGCCTGGTTTGTATTTTTTTTCCAGTGTTGCATTCTCCTTTTTTCTTAAGTCAGACTTGCAATTTGGCTGTCGAGACCATGCAGTTTGTATTTTTTTTCCAGTGTTGCGTTCTCCTTTTTCTTAAGTCAGACTTGTAATTTGGATGTCGAGATCATGCATAGTCCTGATTATGACTGCGATCGGCGCCTCCAATCTTGAAAACAAACTCTGACTCTTTCTTGACATGTTCTCGGGAAAACAACAAAAACTAGCACTAACTCTGAGCTTCACAAGGGTTGTCTCCCTCTACATAGTTTGAATTTTGGAACATCATTTTGCTGCCCAAAACTAATGAGGCAAAGCAAATACAACAATACAGGCCAATCTATTTGCTTAATGTGAGTTTCAAAAATTTTACCAAAGTAGCTACTAATCGAATTGCTTTAGTTGCACAAAAGACAATTAGACCCTCGCAAACAGCTTTTCTTCCGGGTAGAAATATTATGGAAGGTTCCATCATTCTACACGAAACGATATATAAGTTGCATGAGAAAAAACAAGATGGTTTAATTTTTAAGATTGATTTTGAGAAGGCTTATGATAAAGTTAAGTGGGATTTTCTCCAACAAACTTTAAGAATGAAAAGTTTTAGTCAAACATGGTGTAGCTGGATACGAACTTTTGTTCAAGGAGGTAAATGTAGGTGTAAAAGGAAATGATCAAGTTGGCTCGTGTTTCCAAACAAAAAAAAAACTAAGGCAAGGTGACCCTCTATCCCTGACTTTATTTAATATTGTGGTGGACATGTTAGGCGCTACCATTGCTAGGGCCAAAGAAAATGGACAAGCCAAAGAGGTTGTTCCACATTTGGTCTAAGATGGTCTCTTGATTCTGCAATATGTAGATGATACAGTGTTGTTTTAAGACCATGGTATTGAACAAGCAATGAATATGAAACTACTACTTTGCACTTTTGAGCAATTATCAGGTCTAAAATTAAACTTTCACAAGAGCGAAATTTTCTTGTTTGGGAAAGCAAAAGAATGTGAATTGCAATATTCACATTTATTTGGCTGCAAAGTGGATACATATCCCTTCTGATACCTCGGACTGCCATTGCATTACAGAAAAGTTGAGGAAAGAATTGCAAAGAGGTTGTCTAGTTGAAAAGAAAAAATGTTATCTATGGGGGGACACGTCTAGTGTTGATCAATTCTGTTCGGTCCAGTTTACTGATGTTTATGCTCTCTTTTTTGAAGTGCCTAGAGGGGTACTTAAGAAAATTGAGTACTATAATGGGATAAATCATTGATGCATGTTTCCACACAAAGAACTTGAGACATTGTTTGGGTGGTTCTCATGTCTAAACAAGAATATTTTCAATGCATCTATATTTTTAATGCATAATGGGACAAATCATTGAGGTGATTTGTGTTTTGGACGCAAATTGTGGCTGTATTTGTTGTACCATCATCAATTATGTGCATAAATTAGGGAAAATTTTTAGGAATTTAACTTTCAAATTCAATATTATTCCTCTATATAGATGAATTTTTTATATTATTTTTGTTATATATGGTGCCGTACGTACATGGTTACTAGTTAATTAGTAAGGCGTCTAGCAATGTTGCCGCATTATTATATTATATTGTTCATGGTTAGTGGTAGTCAGATTTTTTTTCATGGTTAGTGGTAGGCAGATTGAGTCTCTTTGAGCCGTTCAGTTTTGGCCGAACCAGGTTAAAGGGCGTACCCAGTGCAGAGAGCCCCCGCTCTGTGCGGGGTCTGGGGAAGGGTGTCAGTGGCAAGCCTTACCCTCGCCTGTGCAATGCGAGAAGATCGCGACTCGAACCCGGGACCTTCCGGTCACAGGCGGTAAGACTCTACCGCTTGCACCAGGCGGTAAGACTCTACCGTTCAGTTTTGGCCGAACCAGGTTCTTTTTTTTTTAAATCTTGGCCGAACCAGGTTCCAATAGCATTGTCAAGTTTAAAGTGGAGTCTTGGTGCCTGTGTGTGCATCAACAAATAAAGGGGCTGACGCCCATGTATCCAGGGAGATTAGAATTATATCGTGGAGTTATTCCCCTTTGATCGAGAAACCTAGATGTGGTTTATTAATTTGAATTAATTTGAATCATTGTGCGATTTCTGTTGTGATCAGGGAAGTCGATCTTCCTGAGCTCGCATTGGTTCCTGTTGGAATCCTCTTTCTAGATCATGCCCTAATTGATATATATACGGGTTGGAGAAGTTTTAAGGCTATGGATTGCATCTACTACTTGTTTTTGTAAGCCGTGCAGTACCTATTATCTACGTTGGATTACTGTGGGTTACATTGAGTAAGGTCGCTATCCTATTTTAAGATAAATATAATTGTTGCCCTTGCTGCTATTGAGTACTATATTTGCATCTTGAATTTTTAAGCGGGTACTTTTGAGTGGATTGTTACTGTTCATCATCCGAAAACTATTCCCCAAACCTTATTCTTTGTGGTTCAGAGCATATTTGTAAGTTGCTTGGCTACCTCTGCGTATTTTATTGCTGGGCGAGAGTTACCGGTTCTGCTTTGCGTAATAATAATGCAGGGTACTATTCTTAATCGTCGGAGTCTTTTTCGGGGTGCACTGCTATATTGTCTTGGATTATTTTAAACTGGGTTAGTGACGTGAGGACTACAAGAATTATTTTTCTATCATCAATAAGTCCTGTGAAAAAAATATGTGTACCATAAAGATCACGAATTTTTTTATAGTTTTTTGAGTAGTACTCCCTCCGTCCAAATTGTAAGTCGTTTTCTTTTCTCTAGGTATATATAATTTTTGCTACGTATCTGGATATACATATATTAAGTTAAGATACTATAAAAGTCAGGACAACTTATATATAATCTACAATGAGGGAGTAACTAATTTTACTATTACAGAAAAAATATATCATATAAGAAGAAGAGCATGACGGAGTTTTACACATTTATATCACTATCTCTTAAAACAAACCCTACTACTATTGCTTATTCTGGTGTGATAACCTCGGCGCCATATTCCTAGTAGCGAATCCAATTTATCATTCAATCTTCGCATGCAAGCTATCTTTGTGTTATATCCCATTAAGTGCCACATCAAACCCCCCTAATAAGTGCTACAATATTTCACTAAATGTGATTAGTGTTTTCTGTCTATCAACATACAAAGCATCCAAGTTGTACCATTAAATTGGCCGTCACATTCTCCTATAATTCGATCTAATATCTTATTAGCGTTTTATTCGATTCTTCCATTAGCTTATCCAGTTTTAATAGCATATCTAATACATGTAACGATATAGCTATTTTGTTTCCAAGAAAGTCTCGCGGCAACATGCGAGCTATTCTTCTGGCTACGTATAAGAAAGAGCACACAAACAAA